ATGACTGTACTGTGTAAACACAAACCCGGTGCTGCTGACTCGGCATCCTGTGTGTGTTTACTCTCTCTAGCACAGTGTGAACGCTCATTTCACATCATCAACAAAACAAACTGTTTTCATCCCAAAACCAATGTGATTTTGTCTGTCTGCAGCCTGAAAACGAAGAGAAGTCTGTAGTCTATGATAACATCGGACCCAATGTCTGCATGGGGGACCACAAGGTAACAACAGGGCCTCTGCCCACATCTGCACTGTGTGTGTTTGTGTTGTGATGAAACTGTTCACTGTAAACTGATTCTGTGAGTCTGAGCCCGGCGTGGAAGAGGATGAACTTCTCTCAACACATGAGTATCCAGTGAGGAAACCACTATTTGCATTATGTACTGTGCATGCAGATATGAATGTGTTGCAACAGATAAAGTTATTGATGGTTTTAAGATATGATAGATAAGGTAGAATTCACTGACTTCCACCTGCGGTGATCTTATTGCAACATTTGTTTTTGAATTGTGCTCCGTCAACTACAAATATCCCATTATTGAAAATTGATTGTGCCATTATTACCCATTGTACCCTTTAAAGGTTTAGTTTCCAATAGTATGACTGCTGTTTCAGGACAGGAAGAACACTTTAAAGAATAAACCATTACTGCAATCAATTATTTTTGAAAATTAAACTTGTAAACTAAATTTCACCCACTGACAGCTTTACACCAAAAATATGTGCATTAGTCCTAAAACAGTTGACCCTGACTTAAAGCTGTTCCTATTTGAGGAAGAATGTAAAAAAGTGAGGATTTTTTTTACAGCGGACTGCAGAGAGAGTGTTACACACTGTTCAGTCTCCACGGTGTCAGACAGAAAGAGAGGCGCCTTAAGTCAGGTCTTTCATCAATACTTAGTGTGTCACAGACAGTAGTGTGTGTGTGCGAGGTGACCTGAGCACACTGAGAGATACTGCAGCGGCCCTCACCCCCCAGCCACACACCACTGCTAGAATCACAGCCGGCTATGTTTAAGAAATGTCCAATGTAGTTAGCACACGGGCCCAAAAATGCACGGCACTGCTGTGTGAGTTTAACCCATGTGTCACAGGCGCTCGGGGGGAGGGGGGGGCTCCGGCCTGTCCCAGAGAGCTTCATTAAGTGTTGAACTTGTTTTCTCTAACTGCGGTTTGTCTCTGTCCCCCTGCCAGCCTGTCTTCCTGTCCTTCCGAATAACAGCGGGGGCAGGTAAACCTAATGCAAATAAGCACAAGTGTTGTGTGGTGCAGTGATGTCGTGGTAAATATTAATTTTTTTCTTCATTCTAATTCTTCCCATTGCTATTGTTTGCTTTGATTTTTCATTACCTTGGTTCTGAAGGCAAATGTGCCTGTTTGAAGAGTTTTATTCCAAAATAAAACGTGTGACATTATTGCCGATTGCTTAAAATGCTTCAGTCATTTTAAGACATTTACTTACAAACTAGTGCTGCATTTGTATTCTGACTTTGATAACAGTAACATTTTGCTTTGGTTGAAATGGCTTCTTGGTATTTGGGAATAAAACATTTCCTTTTTTCTCTCCACAGGGAAGTGTTGCCAAAGGGGGGAGAAGATATTCCGTGAAGCGCCTCTGTGAGAACACCAGAGAAACAAACAGGACACCAACATACACGCACCCGCACACGCACACGCACACGCACACGCGCACACACACACACACACACACAAACATGCACACAAACATGCACACAAACACGCACACAAACACACTTTGCACAAGCATACACTGAAGAACCCAAAGTTTTTCAGCAGTGCTGACCAGTTGCAGTTGTCCTGACACCTCATCCATATGAAAACACCACCGTTTTCTCTCCATAAAACACTTGTTGAGATGTGGACGAGCACCCGAGGGCCCGGCTCCAGACAAGACACACATCGCTGACCTCACTGTTGCCATGCAACCCCATTCCCCAGAGAAGAAAAAAAAAAAAAGGACGGCCGGACGGACGACTCTTTTCCATGCCACAGCCTCGTTGCCAAAACTCTAATTGAAATCAGTCCTACTACATACTTTTAGACACCGTACTTGCCATTTTTAGGTATGCCTCTATGTATAGAAGCTACTCTCCACACAGTATGTAAGGTGTTTTAAAAAAAGAAAAGTGCAATGCAAAAAAAGTTGTATATCTATATTGTTAGGGTTATTTGTACATTGGACAGTATAACATAGAGTTGTTGATGGTTTTAGTGCCGTTCTCTTTTCTGACCAAACTTTGTGGTCCCTTTGTTGGAATAGATAGAACTTTTCAGTTTATTTCAACAAACTCTATATATATATATATATATATATTTTGTTTTGTTTTTGTTTTGTTTTTTGAGTTGTTGTTGTGTGCACAACACACTGCCATGCCTGACACATCAGTTGAGTCTCATTTTATATACTGTACTTTTTAAAGAGATAATTTATAATTCTTACCAAAATGTTTATGCTGAAGTGTGCAGCAGACAGAGTGAGTGTGTGGGTGTTCCTGCAGCCACAGTGACCTTTGAATAGTCAGTACAAGAGGAGAGAAACTGTTCCGTGATTTATCGCCTATCCAAGAATGTTTTAAGCAGTGCCATAGACCATGCAAGTATATAAGATAATGTCTCATATATATATAGCACTCTCACATTATTTCATTATTATTCTTACTCTAACTTATTTCTATAATATTATGGTTCTGAATGTGATATTTTAGATAGGCTTGGGTATCCTTAAAAATGTAAACTGTTTTTTTTTTTTTGTTATTTTTTTTTTTTTTTTTGTCATTTGTTTTGTTACTGCATTATGGTGCCAAGTATCCTACACAGAAATGAAGTGTGTAAGAGTTATAAAATACTTAAGTCAGACGGTAAAGGTATTGATTATGAGATGTAAAAAAAAAAAAATAGAGAGAGAGAGAAACTCTAAATGCGGGAACGAGCAGGAAGACTTTTTATTTGTTCAGTATGTAGCCTTCAGCAGCCTTCATTGCAAATAATTTGAGCATTAAAGAGGCGATCCAGCGTTTCCTTTTTATCGATTTCATTTACTACACTACAGATTTCAGACTGTGTGAAGCCGTCAGATTGATCCTCCGTGATTTTATTATTATTTTATTTTTTCATCTAAATCACCGCAAGTGGAAATGATTTTGTGCCTGCCGCAGAATTTATGTTGTCTTGTGTGATTTGGTTCGTAGGCAAAAAGTTAAAAAAGCAAAAGAAAAAAAGAAGCCTGCTTGTTTTTGTTCCTGCTGGTCATTGTGAGTATACTGTAGGAGTATAAGCCGCAGTTTTTTTCTTCACTCCATCTTATAAAAGCAGATAGAGATTTTATTCTACCCCTTCTGGACGGCCTGGCCTCTACTGTAGGTGATGCAGTTCTCAAGCAATAAAAAACCATTAGAGCTCATCGGCTGTTTGTCCTCATTGCCTCTCCTCTTCCCTCTGTACTGCACAATGGGAGCTCTTTATCAATTAGCCCTCCGCGGCATCATCAGTGGATTATTAGTGCGTTATTACTGCGCTGGTGTAGAGTGCTAGAGCTCACCAACAGGGATTCCCTGAGCTCGTTTTTCTTTAGAGAGAGAACTGAGACACCAGCTTTAATTGGGCCTGCACAGCAGCCCTGAACGGAGAGTCCTACATCAATATAGTTCCTAATACTGACCCTTTTATTGGATGTTTATGTTTAATTTATTTAGGTATAGCTTATACTCCCACAGGAGGTTAAATATAATTATAATTTTTCTCAGTTAAAGTACAGCCGGTTATTGCTGCCCTTCTAACGGACTGTTTGATCCTGGCAGACTGAAGCCTTTCTTATAGACACACATCATATTCAGATGGTTAATATGTGCGCAATCCAACTGCGCAACAAATACACTCTCTGAGCACCGTATGCGCTTTATTTGACACTAAAACCTAAATGAAAATTAAACTGTTCAGAAATATTTAAACAATAACCTCCAGGAGGGTTGTACACACACACACACACACACACACACACACACTATAGGGGAGGCCTGCTTTAGTCATAGCTATAACTATAACTACATATAAGTCTCTATAAGGCCATGGAGTGCTGCACTAACAGCCAATATGAGGACATTTAAAAAAGTTACTGTTAGAAAAAAGCCGTTTTGGTTTTCCTCACTCAGAGCCACAGTGTGTGAGAGCAGCTGTTCACTTCCAGGGTTTATCAAACATTTCTTTGTGGGGTTTAATTTTATGGCTGCTAATTTCTGATTGGCTGAATCCAGAGGAGACGGTGCAGAAAGCTGCCATTGAGTCTCACTCTACGGGAGTGGGGGGGACGGTGTAGTACCACATGAGAGCCAGAGGGGGAGCACTTCTGTCAGACTGCTCCACATTAACTGGGTTTGATTTAACTGTTTACACCAAACCTCAGACAGTATGAACCTGTAGCCAATCATTTCCTTCAATTCATTAATAAAGACACAAACTGGCTCATTCTGCTGGAAATCCCCGCAGCAAACCATCAGAGAGTCCTTTCATCTGAGAGGGAGAAAACACCGCTGAGACATTAAATATTCACTATTAAAAGAGACTGCTGAGAGACAGGTTCCTCTTTGATTTGTAAAAGGAAAATATGTTTAAATAGCTCCCTCTAATATTAATAATAATAAAAATAATATCTACAATTGGAGCTCATAATAACTTTAACTCTAATAAGAATCTTGTTGGGTTCCTTATTGAAAAACACAAATAAAAGTTGAACCTGGGGACACAAAAAATAAAGAAATGTCACTTTGCTTTTTGAATGTTGTGAAATAAATCAAATTAATTATGATGTTATTATTATATTAATATTATTAGAGTTCCTTGTTTCCCGCTGCAGACTTAAAACCAGCATGAATCCTCTAGAAGCATCATTGCCAATAATGAAATTCAGTTATTGATAGTCATGAATTTATCTTTAATTTATATTAAGCCCATACATTAAAACAAAACTCATAATAAAACAAAAATGCTTGTTAAATAATTTATTCTTAATACAAAGTGTTTTTTTTCTTCCTATAACCTTCCCGGAAGCAATAATACTCTCTTTAGTTCCAACATAAACGATGGTCCAGTTTTCCATCCCGCTGCGTGGTGAAGAGGTAAAAACAGAAACTTTCTCAAATGAAACCAAAAGTACCGTGATGTCGTTAAAACAAGCTGTTTTTGTACAGTGATTATTTACAGCATTTCGCCTCTATACATGTGTGTGCAGATACTGAATGGACAATTGTAAAACGTGGGAGAAAAAATGGGGGAGACATTACTCTGCAGGGGTGAAAACGAAGCAGCAGGTATATCTGAGAGGGAATAAGCGCGTCCGGGCTGCGGGGGGAGAAAAAAGGCTGCCACGTTTCCACTGGTTCAAACAACATAACTTATTCAGTAAAAAATATATACAATCTCACGTACATTTTCATCTTTAGGCTACAGCACAAATCATTCATTCATCTCGAACCTGCTCCCCCCTCCAAACATTTTATTCTCTCGCCTTTTAGGACAGTGGATACCCTGGTTAAACTGAGCTTTAGAAGCATCACAGGCCCCCATTTACACCTGCCATTTTAAACATGCGTCTGGGATCCGGATCAGTGTTGGCTGCGTCTCTTTAATCCAAAAACGGGTTTAAAGCTGAATTATCTTTAAAGGGTGTACACTTTTTATAGTTCATAATGAAACTGGACTGGCAATAATGTCCTTTCTCTTCAGATAAAAAAGGTTATAGGTGCTAAAGATGATATCGGTAATTAATAAGAGCACTCAGAAGGAATGGCCTTCTGGGCTGTGAAAGGTGACAGAGGCTGTTAATTTTGGGTAGCAAAATAAAGTGTCATGAATTTTACTGCGTAAAGTGAAGCAGTATCACTTGTGGAATAAAAGTAAAGAGTCATTGTAACAAGCCCAACACTGATCCGGACTGTGTGGATATAATATTTCGTTTACATTTACACCTGTTGTTAAAACTCCCGCCTGTATGCGTAAAAACTGATTTGCGTCGCCAAAACAATTTCCTGTCGCAATATTTTTGTCCATTCAACATGAACTCGTCATTATGAGTCTTCTTGAAGTCCAGTTCTGACAGGAGTTATATCTCCGTGGATGCAGTGTCTGTAAGTGGGTTTGGATGCAGCCAAATGCGTCTCTGGCCACGTTTTGGTGCGCGCGTCTTCCGTGCGTCTTGGCGCACACTTTTGTGTGTTTTTACACATTTTCTTGCTCTGTCTGAGCGAAATGCGATCCCCTCAGGCGCATGTTCGTAATGTCAGGTGGAAAAGGGGACCAGAAAGAGTGCGACAAGTCTCTGTTGGACCCTTTGGCCTCCCAACTTTGGCCCCCCCAGCTGTGGGCATCACAAGGTGTCCGAGCTGTTACTGCAGGGGCTGATCAGCGCCAGGTTGGTGGCCTTGTGCTTTTTCAACAGTCTCGTGATTTTCTCGTCGTCTGAATTTGGGTCCAGTGGTTTGTTGTACTCGTCGTCGTCCTCGTTATCCGAGCTCTCCTTCATCTTCTCCGTCTCCGAGTCGTGCTTCTTCTTGGCCGTGGCCATCTCTGCTGCGTGTCGCTTCCGCCATTTGGTTCTTCTGTTCTGAAACCAAACCTGTTGAGGAGGAGAGAGGACAGATGCTCAACAGGTCCACAAATGCACTCACCAAATGCTCAGAGGAAGAAAATATAATTCATATTATTATATAATGAATAATATAATAATACAACTAATAAATAATTCTGGTAGCAACAACATAGCACCAACACCAATAATAATAATAATAATAATAATAATAATAATATAAGTAGGTTGTATGCAATTGTTCCAAAATAAATAAACCTTTATAAATAAATATCATATTTTTTTGGCCTTCCGCAGCTAAAACTGGGATTTCTCAGGTCAATTAATATTTTCCACATTTACAAAAAATGACTGAAGAACAGTTTTTACCTTCACTTGGCTCTCGGTCATTCCTAAAGAGTAGGCCAGGCGGGCTCTCTCTGGGCCGGCCAGGTATTTCGTCTGCTCGAAAGTTTTTTCCAGAGCAAAAATCTGCTGTCCTGAAAAAGTCGGTCTGGAGTGCTTCTTCTTGCCGTCCTTGTCCATCATTAAATTAGCTTGAGCTGGAGAAAGACAGAAGGGAGGAATAGTTAAACACCGAGTCAACCTTTAAACAGCTGTTTATATTAATACAGCTTTTTTTTTAATGCACCTATAAGTTTACACAACTTCACAATTCTGAGTCAAAATGAGCCTCAAATATTCCTAAAAGTGTGCCTGAGCTACATGATGCGTTCACTGACCAACTACTTACTATTGTACAATTATATTCTTTTAATACTATTATTATTTTACTAGTTTGAAAGTCCTGCCAAGTATCATATTCAAATATAATACCCTGTTACAACTCAGACGTATCTTTATGGTGAACACGGTGCTTAATAATTATTTATCCATTTGGAAACTACAATATTTATAAGAGCGCTCTATATTAATTCACAGATTTTAGATTTGCTGTGTGTGAATTATATTGTAGTTATTTATGTTTGCTCTGTGTGTTGACAGGCCCACAACAGGCCTGAATAATATCTACAATCACCAGACACAGCTCTAATAAAACACTCTGCAACCAAACAGACAAACTCTGGCTTTTCTAAATTCAAACAGTTCATAAACTAACCATACGAGTGTACAGACAGACAGACAGACAGACAGGGAGGACTTACAATGACAGGGAACCCGCGGGTCCCTCCAGGGAGAACCCTGCATCACCCCGGGCCAGAAAATGGGCGCCCTCCCGGGCAGCTCGGCCAGGGGCTTCGGATACCGCGACACCGCCGGGCTGAAGTACATCCCCGCGGCTGCGGCGGCGGCGGCGGTTGTAGCCAGGCCGTTTATCCTGGGGAACCCGGAGAGCAGCTGTCCGGCCGTGGTGATGGGTCTCCCCAGGATGTCGCTTATTCCGTGCGGGGTCCCCATGGTGATATGGGAGTTGAGGTTGGAGAGCGAGGGCGCCTTGAAGCCCCCCGGGTTCTGCTGCAGCGCGTACGGGAACAGGGACGTCTTCATCTCGGTCATGTTGTGCAACGCCGCCAGCGGGGTGCTGCCCAGGACGAAAGCACTCTGCCGGTTAGCCTCCATCTGCCCGACCGCTAACATTTGTGAACATGAACCACCAAACTCGCTTGGATAAAAAATAATTAAAAAAGGGAAATAAAAACAAACTAATAGGAGTCAATAAAGGCGCAGAGCGGACTGGTGGTATTCAGGAGCCAGGCCACTTCTGCCGCCCTCTCCAAAAAAGTATCCTGGGTGAGGAAGAAGCAGACTCTGGAAATGTTGGAAAACTTCTCTCTCTCTCTCTCTCTCTCTCTCTCTCTCTCTCTCTCTCTCTCTCTCTCTCTCTCTCTCTCTCGGGAAGTGAACAGCTCGGTCAAACTCCCAGAAATGTCTCTCCGCGTGTTTGTTGTGGTCGGAGAGTGTCAGCTGGGAGAAGGCTGCATGCGTCCGCCACAGGAATCCTCGCGGAAGTCGGCCGGTCTGATGATGTTTTTAGTGGTTTTGATGGGAACCATTAAAGGGTCGACTTGTCTTTCCATAAATTGACTCGCTCTAGGCTGCGAGTGAAGCGGGACCCGCTGATAATAGCGCGGCCACCTGCACGCGCGCTATTCCCATTGGACGGGGGTTGAGTGAGGCCGCGCGCTGATTGGAGGAGACAGAAACTCCGCTGCTTCACACGTGCGTCTTCGCAGGACGGGGTGCTGCCTTGACGTGCTGTCGGAAATAGCAGCTTCCAGTTTTAAGATACACATGAACGACGCCGCTCTGTGCTTGTAAGGACTGACTGGATTTATTTATGATAGATGATGATCTGTGTTGCGGACAAGTGGCGTTTCAGAGCGGTACACAGCCGAAAAATGATCTAATGTAGGATGTATTATTATTTTATTATATGTTATTATTCTAGGCAAAGATAAAAGTTGTTATCTTTTTAAAAAAAATAGCATTATTGTATTTGCTTTCAAAATGTGATGTGAATTTTCCCATTTTTTTCTGTATAAAATAAAATGTCTCCACTAAAGGAAATAACTCGAATAAAACCACCTGATTGTTGCTCACAGCCGTACTGGAGACTTTAAGATTGTGGAAGGCAGGGTGTCGGAGGAGACACTGAATGCACCAGCAGCCACACTCTATTAAGATCTTTAGCTGTGCTGTTAATGATGCGTCTCACACCGTGGAAATCATTGTTTCCACATATGCCAAAGAATATACATTTACATTATAATCTGTTACCGCGGACACTGTGAGTATATCAATGCAGAAACGGGACCCGGCCGAGGGGGGAGGAAGGGAGGGAGGGAGGGAGGGGAGACTCCTAATGTTTGCAGTGAATTTGAAGGAGATTAAATTCACAGAAAAATAAAACTCGATTTAACTTGATTCTTTTCTGTCTTTTAAACAATTTTTGTTGATGTCTTTAATAAGACTTTTCAACCAGTCAGGATGTTGTTTTTTTTATCCCCTTTGCACAACATTGTGTGATTGATCCCGGTACTTTGGAGAATGAGCTCGGATAAACTGAGTTATTCCAGCCTCTTGTTGTAATCTGCCTTCGTAAAAGATTACTGTTTCACTCACTTTACCCGCATCTTGGACAGTATTTCACATCGCTTCTCGTTTTTTTTCCCCATCCAGTGTTTGAAAGCAGTGGATTGAATGAGCAGCCGGTGGCCTCTCAGATAAAGCACAACAGCCTGATTAGAGAGAATAAAGTCTTTAAAGGACAGAGCTCGCTTTTATATGACTGAGATAATCTGTGTGTTTTTTTTTTTTTTTGAGACAAACTGCGTTATTACGGTGAAAGTGTGTGAGAAAAAGCGCCAGGCTCCAGTCATCACTCTGAGTGCTGTAATATTTTATGGAGATGTGAGAAGGTTGTAAGAGTGAAATATGGCCACGTTAGCATTTGAAAGGCTTCAGCAAATGCACCTTGCTGCCCATTTGCTCACCGGGGAAAGATTGTGGATTTTAAAAGGTTTTCAACGCGAGGTGATTCACAATTTTGACTGTATTTCTTCAAGCTGAAGGGATGCAGTACACACGTTTTCTAATTCTGCAAATGGCCCTCTATTTCTAATTTATATCCGTATATTTCCCCCCTGATCATATACATTGATTTTATTGCCTTGTTTGAAAGTCTTTCTAAAATGATCACTATAAGAGAAGCTATTGGGAAAATAAACACCGTCCTATAATCTTTAAAGGAGCAAAAAAAAAAAAGCAGCCGTTGCTCGATCCCTTGGTTTTTTTGTGAGATGTCAGAGAGTTAAATAAAGCGGCCGGTGGCTGACCCAGAGGGAGATCAATGACAGAAAGATTGGCACTTTTTCCAGTTCATCTGCAGCCAAAGGACGAGAGCTGCCAAACAGCCCGTCACCCTAAAACCATAATCACAATTTAACATAATGAAGGATTGGATTTTTTATCTCCTAAATTTACAAGTAATTTAAAGTTTAAACTCTTAAACTCAAATTTGTTACAGAAATAGACGAAAGGGAGGGTAAAAAACCTCCACTGATAAACGATTAAACCAATGACATTGATTTATAGGCTACATTATTATTTCAAAGATAACTAAATGGCAATATTAATAATAATAATAATAATAATAATAATAATAATAATAATGGAATAATAGAAATAATAATAATAATGATAGCCTAGGGATAACAAATAAGAATAATAAAATAAGAAGAATAAGAAGAGTTAACCTTTGCTTTATATTATTAATCTGAACGTAATTATTCATTCAGATATTTGTAGTAAAATGTGAACTTGTTGCTCTCAGCAGTCAGTCATTATACTGAATATCGGCCTGATTTATTGGGGTTTTAATAAGGGCTTGTTGGCCTGCTGATGGCGCGCACCGCGGGCCTTTGTCGTCGTCGTTGTCCCCCCCCATTGAAGGGAAATAGGTTCATAAACAGCGTAAAGATAATCTTATCTGAGTGTAGCCTCGGACAGAACAGTGACAGGGAAGATAAGCAGATGTTGGTACAAAAAGACGCTTGTTGCAGTCAGTCGATGTGCTCAGAGTCACCGAGGCGTTCAGCTGCTTCAGCACCAAGGGCCCCTGTGTCCCTCAAACAACCGACACTACCAGCATATACCCCAACATTATTAATCTATATGAGTAACATAAAAAATAAAAACACTTGGCCCCCTTATAATTATTATTATTATTATTTTCTGAGCAATCAGTGAAATTCACAAGTTGATCTGCTAGAATATAAAACATGTATTTACTGTCTCTCTCTCCATCTACAGTCTCTCACTTTTAACACTCAGTGGGACGTCAAATGGAAGAAAAGGGACTGGGAGTCCCGTTCCAACATGTGATTACATTTAAATTAGTCAGTGCTCAGGACAGCAACAGTAAAACCTGTATAATTTGTCCAGGATCGCCCTCTGGTGGCACACACTGAAACGGAGCTCAGTGGGGCTCCTCTGGGTGCTCCCCACCAAGCACCCTCTGCTGCTGTGCTGTTCCACGTAGACGCTGTGTGAAAATCATGTAAGACCTTCGTGAAAACATCTGTGATACGATGAATTCTCTCGAATTAATTTAGGAGTTAATAGAAAATGTCCGGACCCGTGTGAAGGCTTTAATCCTTCTGCTGACAGGCTGTCGTTTATTAAAACTGTTGCACCTCAGCTGGACCCTCAACAAGAATTAAAACTGTTTTACAAATGCAAATCAGGAAAAAGAGAAACACAGCTGAGAACTGTCAACTAAGCCGAAAAGGAAAAGAAAACTGAACAAAAACCCACAAAGAGAGAGAGAGAGAGAGAGAGAGAGAGAGAGAGAGAGAGAGAGAGGGGCAAGAGATTAAATAAAAAAAGACAGTTAAATAAAATAAATTCCCTAAAATAAAGAAACTGAAAAATACACCACAATTCTTTTTATGGCTGCTGTTTTACAAGAGCAGTGCCTTTCCACTCACATTTTATATGTTTATGTTTAAAACTTCCATAAATGTGTTTTTTGTCTTTTTCATTTAGTCATTTATTTGAAGCACAGTTTGTTCCTTTACAACACATCCACTATTTCCTCACATCACTGCATGTCATTTAACAGTGTAATTACTATTAGAAGGACTTTCAATTCATTTTGTTTTGACCTGCCTCTGAATGAAATCTCAGAATATGAAATAAAATAAATCTTTTCAATGTTACATTTTCAAACAGTGTTTTCATATCATGTGTAAAATAATAAAAGGTTTTCCCCAGCTGACCGAAGTTTCTGTTGTAATCTATCAAGATTTCTTATTCTCTAACACACTGCATTTATTAATTAAGATAAAACACTGTAGTGGAGACTTTCATTAATTATTATGTGTGTGTTCACCACTGGAGGCACTGTAAGACCACTGAGAGTGTTTCCTCCTACAGCTGTTTCAATATATATCTACTCTTTACTATTACTTAAAAAAACCTAGACTTTGGCTCATATTAGCTCCTTCAGCTGTGGTTGAATTATCTGACATTATATATCAATAAACAGAGCTGATCTGATGTTGCCCTCAATAAGTCCCGCTAATTACCCGAGAAATGGATTATATTTAATCAATAAATCTAAATATTTAAAATATTGTATGTGAATATTCTACAAATATAAACAAAACAAACAAAAAACTTAATATTTAGCTTTTATTTAGTCGTATATCACAAGTGTTGGATTCGTTACACAAAAATCTTAATTTATTACTCATTACTCTTTTCAAAAGTAAAATAATTACTTTACTTATTACTCCCTGCCAACAGTAAATAGTAACACTATTTTTTTGCTACTCCCCCCAAAACTGATAATTGCGTGCTTTCTCCCCAAGATCCAGTTTCGTTTCGTAAAATCAAAGTAATGGGAATATTTCCAGCAACTGAATGTTTCCATCTTCAAGTTTAGTTTCCTGCTTCATGATGTGCATGATTACAAAAATAAATACAGGAATGTGATCAGATTGTTTGATTTCAAATCAGTAGTGGTTGACAACAAAAGTAAGGTTGTAACTAATTATTATTTGGGGAGAAACTGTATTCAATAATATCATTACTGAAATATTTTAGTATATTTTATTAACACTACTAGTTACAGGGGCAAGTAATATTATTACTGTAACATTATTACTAGTAATGCCTTACTGCCCAACCCTGTCTAGCACACAGGTCTGTATCTCACTCAGTGAATTTAGAAAAATCCTCTAGATATGGCCGTCTGGTTCTAGCCTCTGAAAAATGGTGAAATAATGAAGAAACTACGGTGGGCAGAGGGAACATATTCTCACTCTATAACATTATTTCAGTGGGTCTCAATATTTCTCTGTAACAACCTTCTGGAGGCTGAAAAAAAAAGTCACAACACATACATTGATTACAATTCTATCAACAGATAACAACACCGGAAAACTAGGAACAAAATGAACCCAGTCACATTTTATTGAAATCATATGATGATTATACATGTTTATTTAAGAGAATGTTTCTCATTCAGCTCTGTTGTGCAAATACGTTTTTGGCTTCCTCATATCTGGGATTTGACTGATGTGTTTGCTTGGTGAATTAAATCTTATAAACCTGAA